CATTTTGTGTCAGCAGAATCAGCAGAAATCAACGAGTCAGCAGTGTCAGCAGTGTCAGCAGCGTGAAGGTTAGGTAGTAGAGGTGGAGTCAAGAATTTCCAGCACATTGCTAACATCAGTATGGTCGACCTTGGTTACCTGGTTCTCTCTTGCTGACGAATTGCTGACGTGTTGTTAGTGGCGTGCTGTGTTGCTGGCGTGTTGTGTTGTTGATGTTGATGAGTTGTGTTGCTGGTGACTTGTTGTGTTGCTGGTGTGTTGTGTTGTTGATGTTGATGAGTTGTGTTGCTGGTGACTTGTTGTGTTGCTGGCGTGTTGTGTTGATGATGATGAGTTGTGTTGCTGGTGACTTGTTGTGTTGCTGGTGTGTTGTATTGTTGATGTTGGAGTTGTGTTGCTGGTGACGTGTTGTGTTGCTGGCATGTTGTGTTGTTGATGTTGATGAGTTGTGTTGCTGGTGACGTGTTGTGTTTGACGTGTTGTGTCGGTGTGACTTGTTGTGTTGCTGGTGTGTTGTATTGTTGATGTTGATGAGTTTGTGTTGCTGGTGACGTGTTGTTGCTGGTGACGTGTTGTGTTGCTGGTGTGTTGTGTTGTTGATGTTGATGAGTTGTGTTGCTGGTGACGTGTTGTGTTGCTGGTGACGTGTTGTGTCGCTGGTGACGTGTTGTGTTGCTGGTGTGTTGTATTGTTGATGTTGATGAGTTGTGTTGCTGGTGACGTGTTGTGTTGCTGGCGTGTTGTGTTGTTGATGTTGATGAGTTGTGTTGCTGGTGACGTGTTGTGTTGCTGGTGTGTTGTGTTGTTGATGTTGATGAGTTGTGTTGCTGGTGACGTGTTGTGTTGCTGGTGACGTGTTGTGTTGCTGGTGACGTGTTGTGTCGCTGGTGACTTGTTGTGTTGCTGGCGTGTTGTGTTGTTGATGTTGATGAGTTGTGTTGCTGGTGACTTGTTGTGTGTTGCTGGCGTGTTGTGTTGTTGATGTTGATGAGTTGTGTTGCTGGTGACTTGTTGTGTTGCTGGCGTGTTGTGTTGTTGATGTTGATGAGTTGTGTTGCTGGTGACTTGTTGTGTTGCTGGCGTGTTGTGTTGTTGATGTTGATGAGTTGTGTTGCTGGTGACTTGTTGTGTTGCTGGCGTGTTGTTGATGTTGATGAGTTGTGTTGCTGGTGACTTGTTGTGTTGCTGGCGTGTTGTGTTGTTGATGTTGATGAGTTGTGTTGCTGGTGACGTGTTGTGTTGCTGGCGTGTTGTGTTGTTGATGTTGATGAGTTGTGTTGCTGGTGACTTGTTGTGTTGCTGGTGACGTGTTGTGTTGTTGATGTTGATGAGTTGTGTTGCTGGTGACTTGTTGTGTTGCTGGCGTGTTGTGTTGTTGATGTTGATGAGTTGTGTTGCTGATGACGTGTTGTGTTGCTGGCGTGTTGTGTTGTTGATGTTGATGAGTTGTGTTGCTGGTGATTTGTTGTGTTGCTGGCGTGTTGTGTTGTTGATGTTGATGAGTTGTGTTGCTGGTGATTTGTTGTGTTGCTGGCGTGTTGTATTGTTGATGATGATGAGTTGTGTTGCTGGTGACTTGTTGTGTTGCTGGTGTGTTTATTGTTGATGTTGATGAGTTGTGTTGCTGGTGACGTGTTGTGTTGCTGGCGTGTTGTGTTGTTGATGTTGATGAGTTGTTGCTGGTGACGTGTTGTGTTGCTGGTGTGTTGTGTTGTTGATGTTGATGAGTTGTGTTGCTGGTGACGTGTTGTGTTGCTGGTGACGTGTTGTGTCGCTGGTGACTTGTTGTGTTGCTGGTGTGTTGTATTGTTGATGTTGATGAGTTGTGTTGCTGGTGACGTGTTGTGTTGCTGGTGTGTTGTGTTGTTGATGTTGATGAGTTGTGTTGCTGGTGACGTGGTTGCTGGTGACGTGTGCTGTGACTGTTGTTGCTGGTGTGTTGTATTTGATGTTGTTTGTGTTGCTGGTGACGTGTTGTTTCTGGCGTTTGTGTTGTTGATGTTGATGAGTTGTGTTGCTGGTGACGTGTTGTGTTGCTGGTGTGTTGTGTTGTTAATGTTGATGAGTTGTGTTGCTGGTGACGTGTTGTGTTGCTGGTGACGTGTTGTGTTGCTGGTGACGTGTTGTGTCGCTGGTGACTTGTTGTGTTGCTGGGGTGTTGTGTTGTTGATGTTGATGAGTTGTGTTGCTGGTGACTTGTTGTGTTGCTGGCGTGTTGTGTTGTTGATGTTGATGAGTTGTGTTGCTGATGACGTGTTGTGTTGCTGGCGTGTTGTGTTGTTGATGTTGATGAGTTGTGTTGCTGATGACGTGTTGTGTTGCTGGCGTGTTGTGTTGTTGATGTTGATGAGTTGTGTTGCTGGTGACTTGTTGTGTTGCTGGCGTGTTGTATTGTTGATGTTGATGAGTTGTGTTGCTGGTGACTTGTTGTGTTGCTGGTGTGTTGTATTGTTGATGTTGATGAGTTGTGTTGCTGGTGACTTGTTGTGTTGCTGGTGTGTTGTATTGTTGATGATGGTTTGTTGCTGGTGACTTGTTGTGTTGCTGGTGTGTTGTATTGTTGATGTTGATGAGTTGTGTTGCTGGTGACGTGTTGTGTTGCTGGTGACTTGTTGTGTTGCTGGTGTGTTGTATTGTTGATGTTGATGAGTTGTGTTGCTGGTGACTTTGTGTTGCTGGCGTGTTGTGTTGTTGATGTTGATGAGTTGTGTTGCTGGTGACTTGTTGTTTTGCTGGCGTGTTGTGTTGTTGATGTTGATGAGTTGTGTTGCTGGTGACGTGTTGTGTTGCTGGCGTGTTGTGTTGTTGCTGGTGACTTGTTGTAGCTGGTGACTTGTTGTGTTGCTGGTGTGTTGTATTGTTGATGTTGATGAGTTGTGTTGCTGGTGACGTGTTGTGTTGCTGGCGTGTTGTGTTGTGCTGGTGACTTGTTGTGTTGCTGTGACTGTTGTGTTGCTGGCGTGTTGTGTTGTTGATGTTGATGAGTTGTGTTGCTGGTGACTTGTTGTGCTGCTGACGTGTTGTGTTGTTGATGTTGATGAGCTGTGTTGCTGATGACGTGTTGTGTTGCTGTTATTTGTTTTGCACACTTTGTTACTGACATGTTATATCGCTGACGTGTTATACTGCTGATATGTTTTTAGCCAAGTATTTCCTCCTCTCCTGACATGTTCCTGACACATTCTACCGTCACGTTCATCTCTGGTGCTGACGTATCGCTGACGCATGACTTACTAGATGCTTAGCCACGTTGTTCTTTCTTACTTCTTTTTGCCTGACGTTTAGCTGACGTGTGGGTGACGTCCTGTTGAGTCAGATTCTTTATTGCTGACGTGTGGCTGACGTCCTGTTGAGTCATATTCTTTATTGCTGACGTGTGGCTGACGTGTCATCGATGTGTTGCTGGAGTAATACAGTGTTGATGTGTTTCTGATTTGATGCTGACATGTTAGTGCACAGCTGACATTGGTAGTAACACGTAACTGACTTCTTGCTGACTGTTTTGACCTGTTGCTCTTGTGGTGTTGAACTGGGACCTTACTGACGTATGGCTGACGCATTGCTGACGTGCTGGTGATGTGATGTTGTTGTTTTTGTAGATATAAGCGTGGGCGTGAGGGCGTGAGGGCGGTGGGAGAGTGGGTGAGAGAGACATGAGGTGCCACCGTGGGACTTAAAACCATGGGCGAGGGCGTGGATGACGAAGGCGTGGGAGGCGTGGGCGTGGGAGGCGTGGGAGGCGTGGGCATTATGGGTGGTGGACGTAACAGGGAGATTGGGTCGAGGCGGTGGACATGGGAGAGTGGATGGGAATGCTCAGGGTGCCGAGTGACTGGGAGGGCGTGGGCGTGGGCGTGAGAGGTGCGTGTGGGTGCCACCGTGTGAATGTCACCGTGAATGGGGAGGTGTGGACGTGGGAGAGGGGTAAGGGTCGTGGATGTGGTAAGGTGGGCGGGGAGGGAGGGTGGGCGGTGCGTGCAGGTGCCAGGTGACCGGGAGGGCCACAGCATGAGGGAGCCACAGCCACACCCTCCACGCGGCAGTCTCCACGCTCACTACCGGCTGGGTCGCGCACTACACCGCACGCGCGGCTCTCAGTGCCACCACGTGTTGCCTCTCTAGTGTCACCACGTGCTGCCCCTCTAGTGCCACCACGTGCTGCCCCTCTAGTGCCACCACGTGCTGCCCCTCTAGTACCACCACGTACTGCCTCTGCCACCATGAGCTGCCTCTAGCTCCTTCAAGTATCACTTCTTGCTGCCTCTAACGCCTCTAGTGCCACTACGTGTTGCCCCTGGTATCCTCTAGTGCCACAAGGTGCTGCTTTATGCCCCTCCACTAGTGCCACCACGTATCAGTCACCCTCCCACATTCCACAGGCATCAGTATCTCTGAAAGGTCACCCATCCATCTGATTATGTAAACAGTGCCATTGTGATACACGTGTAGACCCGCCTGGCACCATGACCTCTGTGAGTGCCAGCCAGTGAGGAGTTTATCTGTGTTAAGTGTAGAGGTGTTTGTGCAGGTGTGAGGTGCTACTGGTAGGGTGACAGGTGTGCGGTGGTACAGGTATGGTGACAGGTGTGAGGAAGGAAGATAAACTCACTGCAAGACGCCCTCGGTGCTCCAGCTTGGACAGGAGGGATGGTCGCCTGTAGCGCGTCGGACCCTCCCTCAGCGAAAGTGTTGTGGGTAGCGCCTGTAACCCCGCTCTTGTAGCCCCTGCCTCGTGCCCCGCCGACCCTGCCCCTACCCCTCACCGACCCATCCCCTCCACCCTCCTCTACCCGGCACGCCCCCGCCCCCTCATCCCAGGCACCATTGGTCGTCAGTGCCACCCAAGTCACGATCACCACAATAACGAGGTGACAGGTGGCGGCTGACCTGACCTCGGGTGGGGCACAGTCAACGTGGTCAACAAAGGAGGCCACCTCCCCCTCTCATCCTCTCCTCCTGTCCCCCATCCCCCTCCCACCCCTCCCATGCTGGTCGCCCTAGTTCTCCCAGGCTACAAAGTGACACAGTGTATTGTGGTGTTAAGAAAACCGATTCACGAGTTTATAAAAGGAGGTTAAAAATGCCTGCAACTGACGCGTGGATTTAAAATTGCAAGAGGACCCAAAGAGTGACCTTTCAGCACCCCACTTGATCAGGAGCACCGACCACCACAGAGTTGGATGCCACTCCGCTACTCCTTACCTTCCCTCGCCTTGTGCTGCCACTCCAACAAGGTCAACATTATAAGGTATGTAACTTTTAATTAGAGTTTAATTATTTCCGTTCTTGATCGGTCTAAGATATGAGGGAAGATTACATATATGCGTTCAGTTCGTGTCGTGATTAAAATGGAAAGTGGTTCTTGGTCATCTGGTCACGGAGTATCCAGGTGTTGGCGGTACTATTATCATTCAACCGAGCTTTGTAGTGTTAAAAGGCGGTCAGGTGAAAAAAAAAATTAAAAGGCGAAAGTAAAACAAACTTGATAGCGTCCGACAACAATACAAAGTCCAATCACTTCGTAACACTCGAAGCTCCAACACTCACTGCCGACTGCCGTGGGATTAACTCCGGAGTTCGGTCGAGCGGAAAATTGCACCCAGGTATGTCATTCGAGCAGCCTGGTGACGTCACGTTTCTTGAGAGACCTTCTCGTATCTCCAGGTGGGCGTAGGTGGTCTAATTATCTCCTGGGAGAGAAGATTAAAAGACCCTGAGAGACAATGGAGACGGTGTTGGTGGTGGGATGAAAATGTAAATACGAGGTACTTTTACAGCGTCTCCCACGACTAGAGATCTGGGAGACAATTACCTCTCTCTCTCTACCGGATACAGAGATATAGAGATCGTACAGTAACGTGACAGGCTTATGAGATGTGTCTCCAGAGTAACTTTTCCGTCTAAATCTTCACTAACAGAGGTGAAACATAATCCTCCTCACTTACCTAACCTAACTACCATCTTAATACAACTTACCTGGCCCAAATATCTCCTGGTCAATTACTAACCCACCCAGCCTAGGAGATCAAAGGAGGATGAGTCATTTTCAGTTACCTGGTCACGATTTTAGCAGATAAATGGCGTTAAGTTTATTTTTATTTATTTTTTCTGGGGGTTTGTTTTGTCTCGGGACGACTAAGATATCTTTATACAAACCAGCAAAACTTGACAATATGATTTGGGTCAGAGGTTAACACAAGTGAGGAGGTCGGATAGGATGTGGCGATGATGTTGTGGAGAGGTGAAGGAAGGAAGAAGGAAGGAAGGAAGAGGGAGAGAAGGGATGAGGGGAAGAAAAGAGAAGAGGAGAAAGGGGGGGTAGGGAGAGACGGGGGGCAGGAAGGAGGGGAGAGGGGATTAGGTGAAGAAGAGAAGAGAGAGAGAGAGAGAGAGAGTACATAATTAAAGAGGAACCGCTATCTTTCTGTCTGTCTTCCTCACTTGTTTATTTAATTTTTCTCATTTTCTTTATTCTGTTATTTCTCTCTTCCATTCTGGGCCAATTGTTGCTGTCTACACCAATATCTATGTCATTTATGCTCCTTCCCCCTCTCTCATTTCTTTTATCAAGCTCCTCTCTCTCTCTCTCTCTCTCTCTCTCTCTCTCTCTCTCTCTTTTATCAAGCTTCTTCATCCTTCCCTCTCCCTTTTCTCTCTCTCCTCTCGTTTATCAAAGCTCTCCACCTTTCCCTCCTTCTATATAGATGAACATTGAAGCTAACTCCTTCCATAAAGGTTAGGTTAGGTTAGGTTAGGTTAGGTTAGGTTAGGTTAGGTTAGGTTAGATTAGGTTAGGTTAGGTTACAAGCCTTGGTATTAGTCAAAACACAAACTTCTAAGTGACTACAGTTACTTAAGGCAATATTAAGTAACAATGGTCCTTTATCACAAGTAAAATTAAGTAACAGAAGATTTTTTAACGAGAGTTTCATTAATAACTCTACTTTTTAGGTGATATTACTTTATAAAATATTCTAAGTACCTTGAAATACGTATATAAGTAAGTAACTAAACTACACGAAGCATAAGTAACAGTTCGTCATTATTCTAAGTAACTTTAAAGTTCCTGAGTCATTAGTGAGAGTGTTGATACGGAAATAAACAGGTCATTACACTTGAGCCAATCGCAGGTAATTTCAACGGCAGTCAGGTAGTTAGCAGAGGTGGTGGTTAGTGTCGTGTTGTGCTCCATTTATTGACGCTATTTCCTGTAGTAGTAGTAGTAGTAGTAGTAGTAGTAGTAGTAGTGTTATCACGTACACTAACAGTCCACGAACACAAGCAAGGACATAACAAAGTATGCTAGTTTATGATATCTCCCCACCCACCCACCCAGGCATTCCAAGATATGATGAGTCATGTTCGTATATAACCAGGATATCAATTTGTAATGCAAACTAGACGACACGAAAGTTTGTGTTTTAGTCATATAAATAAGATAGCAATGGTCTCTATAGCATATAAACAATATATCAATTATCACTGTAATGTAGAAACAGGATATGAAGAAAATATCAATAGACACTCCAGCGTATAAAAAAAAACGATATCAAAAACCTCTTTAATATACAACAAGATATCAAGGAACACTATAGCATATATAAAAGATATGAAAAATCAATATAACATACAGACAATATATCACAAAGGCAATATAACACCTCAGAAGGTTATCAAATGTCGCTATCACGTGAGAAGGAATCATTTGTGTAGCGAGTGGCTGGGCGTCACACACACACACACACACACACACACACACACACACACACACACACACACACCTGACCAAAGTTACGTGAGATGATGGCCAGGTAAAAAGGTGATCAACTTGTAGGTATTTTGCATAAGTGTGTGTGTGTGTGTGTGTGTGTGTGTGTGTGTGTGTGTGCGTATACAGGTTTTTAATTTTTATATACGCGTGTGCGAAAATAAGTTCATTTACATGTGAACATAAATATATTCAGTTTTACATCACAAAGACATGAGTGAGAGACCTACCACGGGTGTGATGACGTAATGATGAGTTAGTGATGACCTAGTGATGACTGGTACTCACCACACCACCACCTACTGGAGATGTGATTTGCCTTCTTGCGCGGTTGGTGAATGAAAGGGAGGAGGAGGAGGAGGGGAAGGGAGAAGGGAGAGGAGAGGGAAAGGGGAGAGGAGGGGAAAGGGGAGAGGAGGGGAAAGGGGAGAGGAGGGGGAAAGAGGAAAGAAGGTGGAGGAGAAGCAGGGGAAAGAAGGAGGAAGAATAATATGATGAGGAGAGAGAGAGAGAGAGAGAGAGAGAGAGAGAGAGAGAGAGAGAGAGAGAGGAATAATAACAGCAGCTGTCATATGTGTGTCCTTGTGACGAGAATGCGAGAGTCGTGCCTCCTGTATGATCTGAGACACACCCATCGTAGGAGCTGAGTGAAGGTGTGCGCCAGATGTCCCACTTACGAGGACGTCTAACGAGGAATCACAATCAGAGGAGGGACGACATTCTAGACCTTAGGTACTCCTCGTGGGTTTGTTATTAGGACATAATAGACTATGGAATTGTAAATATTAGACATTATTATACGTAGAGAATTATCGTAAGGTTTTGTTAAGTAATCGTAAGTAAAAAGGTCCCTTCGTATACCATTCAGTAAAATAAAACTCTTACGATAGCAAGGTTCCCTAAATGGCTGTAATCATGGGATGTTTTCAGCGCAATCTAACCTGTACTTTGTCCTACTTAATACGAGGATTTGTGAGAAACAATAATAAACGTAAGAAACATTCCTCCATGGTTGGTAGATAAACACGACGACCCAGTTAAGGGGAAGGGGGGAGGGAGGGAGGAAGGGAGGGAGGGAGGGAGAGAGGGAGGGAACACATCAGCCATCTCTGTCAGTCATGTTTAAAGTTTCTCTGAGGAATCCCTAATGAGTGCATACACCTGTCTACGTCATGAATCTAGTTACAACTCCTTCTGAGAAATTGCAATGAAAGGAAATTTAGGTACTGTTTACAAATAAGAGCTTCGATTACTCCACACTCCACTGGTCGAGTTCAGAGAAATCCGTAGGAACGAGAATGGAAGATAATGTAGGATTTTCCAGGCAAGTGTTCGTGTCTTCCAGGAATACCAGACGTAGATATTTCACAGGCTACCAGACATATGTTATATCCATCTATTAATAGGAAATCTAAGTTCATTAAGACTCTACCTTGGGTCTGAAAACAATCCTCCAGGAACATAGAGAAGGGTGGTTATTACGGTCTTCAAAGGTAGCAATATCCTAAAGGAAGAAACTTCAATTCTCTTTAAATATTTTAGACAGAGTTTGTGGTCATCTAATCTCATGGCTATCAAAACCCCATTTCGTATTTCTTTCAAGGCAGCAGCAAGCAAGCAAGCAACCCACCCCGCATAAAGTTCCCAGGGCCGGTGTACACAAGATTATTTAGAATGTTAAAATCAGTGAAGCCTTCATCTAACTGTTTACCTACAAGGACTCGGCAGGAAACTCACCTGAGAATTACTCCGTCGCCATCCACCACGTAACTGTCCAGCGAAGAATTCCTATCTAACCTTGGTCTACATCCTGCCAGTAGTGTCCTCACGACCCCATCCAAGCGAGTGATATTGTCCTCACTGTGTCATCACGACCCCATCCAAGCGAGTGATATTGTCCTCACTGTGTCATCACGACCCCATCCAAGCGAGTGATATTGTCCTCACTGTGTCATCACGACCCCATCCAAGCGAGTGATATTGTCCTCACTGTGTCATCACGACCCCATCCAAGCGAGTGATATTGTCCTCACTGTGTCATCACGACCCCATCAAACATGTCTGTTATTCCTCACTATGTCATCACCATCCATTAACCCAGTGTGATATTATCCTCACCTATATAATTCTACTCCTTTGTCCTCCTCTGTCCTTCCTGTCTCAGTATCCTCATTTTACTTCCTGCCTCATGGGTCTCTTTCTTCTACCACCTTATGTGGCAGGTACAAAACAATTAGTTCAGGTAGTCCCAGGTGCGATGGGGGCGATGACCTACTGAAGGAGAGAGAGAGAGAGAGAGAATAAAATAGAAAAATTAACAGAGATAAAACATATAATAGGTGTCACAGAATCAAGGTGTATCTGAGTGTAAAACCATTCTAATATACACCCACTGGACGTGTCAGGTATCACCACTGCATGACACACCTGGTGGAAGAGGTCAAGTGTATTGCCTCAAGTGAACGAGACGTGTTTTTTTA